TTTTTTTTTTGGGGGGGGGGGGGAGTCGACAGTAGGAACTGAATGCTTGCTGCTGATCCTAGTAATGAATCTGTGAGAAGACCATTGTTGGGTTTGACTATACATCAGAACACTGATGCAAGTTAACTCTGCTGTTCATCCCCCGTAGCCTTTCATCTGTGCGTTTCTATGATACAGAAATGTCATCAACAAAAAGCTCCTCGGTGTCCTCACTTCAGGTGGTGAAACTCATCTGAACTCATCGTTTATGGATCTGCTGATCTAAGCACTTTGTGATCTAAAACGTGATGTTTTAAAATCCTCAAAACAGCTGGTTGCATACAGGTTGAAAAATAACCACCTTGGGTTTTGTCAGTAACTTTAAAGGTGATCTGCAGAAGAATTAAGTTTATTTTGATTGCTCAGAGACCTCAAAGGTGTGGTTTTTCTGGATATTTTTTTTTTTGTCTTGACTTTTTGCATTAGAAGCATAGATTTTTGTCTTTAAGTCACTGTAAATGTGACTCCAAAATTAGCAGCGTACTGAAACCAAAGTTGCAATGCAATTGTTTTATAACAATAGAAGTGATTTATTTATTTTTTATTTTTTAAAAGCCTTAGTCAATAACATGATAATTTGTCTGCATTTTAGTGCTGATGAGTTGGTTGGAGAAAAGCGTTTCATGTCAAGTTGAAACACCTTTGCCCTGGTTTGAGGATGATGAGCTCCCAGTGCGTGTCGTGTAGTCCTTCAGGAAAGCCAGCCAGCAGATTGATATTTGTGGGACTTAGAAATTAGAAGGAAAAAAAAATCTGCTCTTACTTAAGAAGGAGGAGATAAGTGTTCACTTCGTGGATCAGATTCTGTCTGATTTAAAGCACTTTGAGAGAAAGGGTGGGGGAAGAGAGTCAGACCATTATAGTAGGGGGTTTTCGACAAGCAGAACTTGAATTGTGACTTCGTTAGATCGGTGCCTGCCAGGAAAACGTTCACCAGATCAGGAGTTTTTACATCCTTATTTACCTGATACAGTATAGCAAATATAGCTGTATTTATAGCAGCTGGTTTACTGTACAATTCGCTTTACTACCTTGATTGTATAAAACAATGTTTTTAATTTCAAACAAAAAATTGGATGCAACACTATGGAAAAGGTGTTTATTTGTAACACCGCTATAAATTTCACTAAAACTATTAGTCAGATATACTGTTCTCTGTGTTGCTTAGAATTGATGTGATATGAAATGCACATGCTGCATTTTAGAGATACCCTGCAAAGAAAAGTTCTTCAGCTTGTTGGGTTTTCAGTCTTGTTTGATTAACTAAGGGAGGAAAGATGTCAGAGGTGTGGAATGTCCGTACCACCAGTTTGCCCTGTTGAAGATGTTTACAGTTTGTATAAAGCAAAATAATGTTTTAATATAGTGAGTGAAAGATCCTTGCTCGTGCCGTATGGGACTTGCCAAAAATGTAATAAATCGGTTTATTTGTGGCGAATCTTGTTGTGGTCACTTTTAATTTTGTACTTAGATTGCTCGCTTCTTATTTTGGAGTATTAATTAATTTACTTAATTATCTGAAAAAATATCAATACACATCTTTGTACAGGTCTTAATGTGTGTGCCTTTTCACCTCATGTGCTTGTGAAGAATTGTACTGTGTGACCAGCAGCCTCCAACATTCAGGGTTGGGTGAGGTCCCCGAGAGACAGAGCTGGGTAGTGGCTTCTCTGGCAACCACCTTTGCACCTTCTTCACTGCTCGGTAGAACTACTTCAACAGATTTTTAAAAAAACTTTATTTTAATCTCTGATAATATATATTTATCAGTGTTTGGCGTACTGTGTTCTGTGTCGCTGGTTCAGTCACAGTATTTGCTGTCTGCTCCATTTGCTGCTTGAGCACATTATCCTTCTGCTTTGGAACATTTGATCACAATTTTTGCAGACAACTGCAGAATGAGAGTCAACATGGAGATCTTTGAGGAGAAAAACCTACATGGGACAAGAAGCTGGAAAATGCAGTGAAAGAATACTTTAAATCCAACCGGAAAAACAGTACTGTTCAGTAAAAACAATAATGAAAAGATTCTTAAGGAAAATTACCCTCTTGATATCCTAAACCTTTAAATTTTAGTTTTTATCTTTTAGCTCTGGCAACCCAGTAAGAGTTTTGCTCGTTTGTTTTTAATAGAGAAGAAACTGGATGTCATAATTCTGATAGCACGCTTGGGTTTTGCAGATCCTGTAATTTCTACAAGAACAGTAGCTTTCCCCGACACAACAAGTGATATTCCCCCCCACAGTACAAGGACACCTTACAAAAATTATGATAAGGGTCATTTTCTCGTTAGACTGTTTTAAGGTTTTAACTTTTTTGTGAAACATCCTTGATGCCATGTGTAGGAGCAGAGGTGTTTGGGGTTTTTTTTTTAATTTAAAAAAGTGCCTTCAACTGGGGGTTTTGAGGAGGGACAGGAAAGACACAGATTGCTTTCTGGAATTGGGTGGTAATTGAACTGAGACATTTAGGCACTAGGTGGGTGTGTATAAAATCTGTATACCAATGTATCTTCTACCTTGTAGGTTGTGTGTTGACTTGTCCCATGTGGTAGCCCCTTTGGGGGGAAAAAAGACTTCTTAGTTACAGAGTTTTGGCGCTGGCAGTCTGTTGGCCATGTCAGATCGAGGGCATCACTGGGAATAAGGAGAAATGTGGAATATACCTTGTGTGATTGGAGCAGTAAATTGGATGGACACCGGCTCGTTAGGAAGAGCGGGAGGGGAGAGGAGAGGTTTTGTTTGGCACTAGGCTGTGGGACAGGTGACAGGTCTGTTCATAGCTTATGGGTCAGGATCAGAGGGGTGGCCTACACGAGGCATATTGTGGTGGGTGCCTGCAACGCACCAACCAACATATTTTCACTAATTTTAATAGTAGTGGGGGTTTTGCACAGTTTGAGTTCCCTGGCCAACTCCAGAGCCCTAATCTAAAAATAAGACAAAGCAGACGAAATTCAAAAACAATGGCTTAGTGAATACATTTGATTATGAAGTCTCCATTAAATCCTGTGTATGAAAAATCTTAGTCAACATTTCTAGAAATGTATTTCTATAGAAATATATAGAATTGATCCTTGTAACATTTTCTAAAACCTTTTTATAAGGCAAGTCTTCAATTTTTCCAGGATCAGAGCTGTTACCAGGCAGGAGTTCTCTCAGGCTTATTCTTTCCTATTTGCACGATTAAATTCCTGATACCATGAGATACAAATGATTGCAAAAAGTCTGGGGTGGGTTTTGATTTTTAATTTTAGGGACCTACTCTGTCATGAATATCTTTCATGAATGTTTTAGGTAATGCAAATAACAGCAATAGGATTTAACTTTTACTTGTCTCTTACTGCTTGATGATAGGAGATTCTGGGGAATTATTCACAGCAGAATTAGGTCTTTTCCCTGCAAGATTTATTTATGTATTTTAAGAAGAATGCACAAAGTGGCCTATTCATGCAGCAGGTGAACCCAAATGTCAGTAGAGGCTTTCTTGCATTCTTGCTTACTTCATCCCATGTTTGGTACGTATCACGGTGATGCGTGTAACATCAGAGTTTGTCAGGTGCACAAACTAAGCTGTTACCTTCAAAGACTGGGCTTTCCAAAACTCACAACAAATATTCCATGATTTAAGGGTCTTGAAATAGTCTTTATAAATTTCAGCTGTGCTGGCATCCAACATTATCCTGATCAGAGCACTTCAGAAAAGGTAATTTCAAGGACTGTCATCACGTACATATTTTAGTAAGTGGAAAAAATCCGATCCTGTACTGTGCCCTGAAAAGAGGAGAGCTGCTGAGCACTGCTCTAATAGAAGGGCAGGAAACAGGCCGAGAGAACAAACATGGATATCTGGTAAATGTGTAAGCTTCATCTTTTTAGCAGAATTTCTTATGCATAATTACTTATGCATATATAAAATACATTTTGTGGGCTAAAATTTAGTTTACCTAATTAAAGCCATGACCCTAAATAGGAAAGCGTAATTCAGATAGAATATTAAATAGAAAAGTAATTAATGAAGTTTCTGTAATTAAATTTTAAAAGAAACTTAGCAAAGATCTCTAAAGCCATTTGCTCATCTCAGAACTTACTCTTTGTTCCTCTCAAAGCACTGGCTGACACAAGATCTGTGATTTCATTTACATCAATAGGTTTAAAAAAGAATCAGTACTGACAACATTATATTTAAAATTTATGCAAAACGCACCCTTAGAATGATGAAAAAACGAACCTTTACCCAGGTATCTGCACACATCTCTGCTCTACTCATGGATGCATTCCTACTGATCCAGGTGAGTCAACATCATTCAAAAAAAAAAATGGCACAGAAGTACACCAATATAAAAGATAATCTGAACTTTCTTTAAATGCTTTGTATTATTGAAGAATTGTTTTAAATAGTTGGGTTTGAATTACTTTAGTTACAGCATATGGGCTATTTCAATTATCTCTTTACTAGTCTTTAGAGGACCAACCTCTCCTTTCAGAACTATCCTGATGGGTTGTTTCTAAAGCAGTGTGTTACTCTTTACACTGCAACTCTCTTAACCCAAGGTCCTCCCTTTGTTTCAACAGAAAATTTTGCAATAGTGAATAACAATTTTGCTGCTTCCATTTACATCAGTTGTTTTACAAATTAAAAAAAGCAATTCAAGGATAAAGAAATATTGCTCCATGCAGTCTGCTAAATTAAAGCTCATCTTCCTTTGAAAAAAATTTAGGACTACATAGTCCCCTTGTGCTTCTAATATTTATTAATACTCATATTTTAATCAGACAGCTAATCCTCACTTGCTCTACTAGATTAATCTTGCCACTTGAGTGACAGTGTACTGGAGAGCTAGAAATTGTGAAACTCAGCCCATTTAAGACCCCTGATCAGAATATATCTGAGATTAACACAGAAAAATGTTTTCTACTTGACTGATTTTAGATGTACTTTAATTTTGTTGTCTATAAGTTTCAGTGCAAATCACAGAGCAGTTTTAATGGCAGACTTAGTAGTGAAACACTTCTTGCTTTCCATTTTTCAAATGAAATTTTACGAATAATTTATCAGAGCACTGTACAAATTGTTTGTTGTTATTACCAAGAACAACATTTAGTAAATCTTAATTGAAGAGCCTTAAAAAATTATAGAAGCACCTTCACTTCTAATTCTGCATACAGCACATCTCATAAACATTTGCTTTTGTCATACAGAAGCTTGGGAATAGGTAAATTATGAAACTGATTCTGCATGTCGCTCATCTGCCCGTGAACATATAGAAGTATATAAAATACGTAGACATATTAAAAAAAAATATTTCACATATTTGGTACTTTTTGGTTTATTTTCTGAAGTAAAACAGCAAATTTCTGGAGTTAGTGCTGAGCATGTTACTGGCACACAGAACACCTGAGTGTCTGCTCATTCAATTAACGGCTTCAAGGACAGTACCTTCCAACAGGTGGTTTGCAAAAGGTGAAAATTTGATCATGCTTTTCTACAATGCAGTGCAAAACAGATGGGTAAATATCAAGCATGATTTTTGTACAATATTTCAGTTTTGAGGGGATCTCTGGTGGTCCTCCAGCTGGGTGTTTTCAACTCAAAGCAGTGCTGACCAGATAGATCAAATTATTCCATCTTTAGCTTAACGAGCGCTGTCCTTCTGTATGTAAAAAAGGGGAGGAAGGGCTACTGAGATGTGGACAGAAGAGAAACGCTTGTTATGTGTGATTGCTTCAGGCTGCTGGGCTGGTCAAAGGGACCACGCTTCTCAGAAATTCTTCAGCTGAAGATTTCCTCAGTTTTGAGCTGAGTTGTTCAGCCTCCCAGGTCGTAGGGAGGGAGATTTCTGTGTGGGGGTTTCTGTTTGCTTTGTCTCTGATGGATAGAGCCAGCTGACAGGCTAGAATGGCTTTAAAGGTTAATTTCTGGTTATTCAGCCTATTTACGATGCTGGCATGTTGTATTCAATAGGATTAAGTGGCAGAATCACAGAATGATATGGGGCTGGGAGGGAATCTCTGGAGATCATCTAGTCCAACCCCCTGCCAAAGCAGGTCCACCCAAAGCAGGTTGCACAGGAACTTGTGCAGGTGGGTTTTGAATGTCTCCAGAGAAGGAGACTCCACCACCTCCCTGGGCAGCCTCTTCCAGGGCTCTGCCACCCTCAAAGTGAAGGAGTTCCTCCTCATGTTTAGGTGGAACTTCTTATGTTCAAGTTTGTGCCTGTTTTCTCTTTGCCTGTCACTGGGCATCACTGAAAAAAGACTGGCCCCACCCTCTTGCCACCCACCCTTTAACTCACCTGATGCTTATTCCTTTAGGCAAGTCTTCTATTCCATTCTTACCCTTAGCTGTGCATTTCTTCTATGAACTATCATACTTAGGATTTATCTGATAAATCATCTTATTGGAAAATAGCGTTGTGGTGCCACACTGTAGTCTCTT